GGTGGTTTTGTTCACATGACACGTTGCAAAACTGGTATCGTATGACATGATTGCATGGCGAACATAAGCGACAGGCATGACCACATGCCTCACTCGTGATGCGCTCGCTGCCGTTTCGCTAGCTTCGCATATGCCAAATTTGGTATTATGGAACGTGAGTAGATGACGATGGTATGTGACTGATTCAAACAATAATTATGAGTTGAGTGCCATGTAAAAACATCACTACATGCATGCCAGGCTCATGATATGGTGGTGGCCGTTTCGCTAGCTTCACATATATATCAAGTTTAGTATTGCGGTAAGTGAATGGAAGACAAAGGAATGTGACTGGTGAAAAAGAAGATAATCATGAGATGCGTGTCATGTAACATGACTGCATGCTACGCTCTTGATGCACTCGGGGACGTTTCGCTAGCTTCACATGTACGAAATACTTAATACGTGACGACAACGGACGATACAAGTAAATGACATGTCCAAACATGATAATCATTACATGCGTGTAATGTAACAACATGACTACGTGTCAAACTCATGATGCGCTCATGGCCGTTTTGCTGGCCTCACATTTGCGATATTTGGTATTACGTCATGGGAATGGATGATGAAGGTATGTGACTGGTACAAGCGTGATCATGAGATGCGTGTCATGCAAGAACACGACAAAATGCCACGCTCACGATGCGCTCACAGGCATTTACTCAACTACACATATACCAAAAAAATTTCGCACCACGTGACGTGAATAGACAACCAATGTAAATGAAAGGTTTAAGCATGATAACCATGATATGCGTGTCATGTAAAACATTTCTTCATCTTACGCTCACAGGGCGCTCGCGACTGTTTAAAAGCTACTAAGGCTTACTAGTAACACTTAATAAAGCTTTTAGTAACGGCAAAAGTGTTAACCGTTACTAACTGCACTTACTAAATTGGTTGTAACATATGTGACGAACCATTACTACCTCAAAAATTAGCAAGTACTACTACCTTTTTCTAAGAGTCTAAGAACCAGTAATAATGTTCTGCATTAAGCAGAAAAGCAGGCACAAATGATTTTCGGGTGTGCGCAATGGCGAGAACTCCTCCTCGAAAATTTATATAAATAAACTGATATTCGAATGGCCGGTTTAATAGCGATGCTCGCGCATGAGGTGATAAAAATTACTGATGTAATTGACATCCATATTGTTACTTGCAGTAAGTAGACATCCCGGCTGCGGTGGCTGCATTTCTGATGGAGGCGGAAATGCTGTAGGCCCATGTGCTCAGATTTGGGTGCGCGTTAAAGAACCCCAGGTGGTCGAAATTTCCGGAGTCCTTTACTACGGCATCTCTCATAATCATATGATGGTTTCGGGACGTTAAACCCCGCGTAACAATCATCATCATAGCGGTTGCGATCAAAAACAAAACGACTTGCACCACCTCATAATATGAACGGCCATCGCACTTTGTTGTCGTGTTATAAAAGCGAATTTCAAATATAACGCCGGTTATGAGTACATGCTTTTGCTATTGAAAGCAATGGCCGATAATTGAGTCAATTTCGCATATTCGATGTTATCAAACTTTCGAAGGAATACGCTTCTCTAGTTAGCAGGCCCGTAGCTCAAAATGTTTTTTTTTGCAGGTATAGTTCACTTAAAACGTCGTGGAAGGCCTTGAACAACTTCTATTTTCATCAATTGTTTTCGGTAAAAGACAATCGAATCAATCGAGTAAATCTCGCATATGGGAACACGGGGTACCCCACAGGGAGCCGTGTTATCACCGCTCCTTTTCAACATTGCTATGATGCGCCTTCCAAGCGAATTGGCCAGGGTGGAAGGCACACAACACGCAGTAAATGCCGATGATATTACAATCTGGACCACTGAAGGGAGCCTTGGTGAAATGCAGGAACGCCTTCAGCAGGCTGCATCCATAGTCGAGGCGTATGCCAACGATTGTGGACTCCAATGTGCTCCAAACAAATCAGAGCATCTGCACGTTAGAGCGAAGCCAAGAGATGAGTCAGCGATACACATCTCCCTGTCTGGGGTTCCCATCAGAGAGGTGGAGGAGCTCCGGATTCTGGGCCTGTTCATTCACCACAGACTCATACCGGACTCCACTATAGCGAAACTCAAGAGAATAGGCGAACAGGTAGGGCGCATGTTCCACCGCGTTTCCAACAAGCGGAGTGGTCTGCGGGGCAGGGACGCGCTTCGGCTCGCCCATGCCTTCGTGACTAGCCGGATCCTCTACGCCGTCCCATACCTTCGCACTAACAAGCAAGAATACGAAAGAATAGATGCCATCATTCGTAAGGCTTCTAAACGAGCTCTGGATCTCCCGGTGGCCACTTCCGACGCCAAACTGAGGGCGTTAGGTGTGCTCAACTCCTACCAGGAGTTGCGGGAGGCCCACCTTATGAATCGATATACCCGGCTCGTGCAGACGGCTCCCGGACGCCGCCTGCTGAACCGCTTACATATACAGCACACTTGCACTGCAGAGGAGGCGGAGCGTATTCCGGAACTGTGGCGGCATATGCTCTCGGTCTCTCCACTCCCCAGTAACATGGATAAGCACACGCACGAAAGCAGAAGACAGGCGCGGGCTCGGACGCTTGAGAGGCAACACGGCTCCCGACCTGGTGTATTATACGTAGATATAGCAGTGCCTTCGCCCACGGGATTTTACACGGCCTGTGTAGTTAACCGGGAAAAGCATGTCAATGGGCTCTCGTTCCGAGCACAAAATCCAGAGCGCGCTGAAGAAGTCGCGATAGTGCTTGCTGCTGCGGCCCCAACTCGAAAGTTATCATCACGGACTCCCGGAAAGCATGTGCTCATTACTTGACAGGAGAGATATCCCCCCTAGCCAGCCAAATTCTAAAACGGGCTCTCGCTGATCCAGCCCCGAAACGCATCGTATGGGCTCCTGGCTATCAGGGCTTACAAGGTAATGAGGCCGCTGACGCGGCCGCCCGAGCACTTACCCACCGGGCTCCTCACCTTGGCTCTTATGACTCGGAGGCCAATACACCGCTGTTGTGGTTCAAAGAAATTCTGCCCTATTATCGCGACACTCACCGCTTTTATCCGGCTCCTGCAAAGGGGCTGAGTAAGGCGGAAGAGCGATCTCTAAGGCGCCTGCAGACAGGTACTCTACTGTCTCCTGCAATCCTAAAACATTTTGATGCGAACACAGATGGGCGGTGCCCACACTGTGGGGAGACGTGTAATATCTTCCACATGGTATGGGCATGTCCGAAAAATCCCCACCTACCCCCTTCCCCTACCCCTTCTCGAGAGGCATGGGAGACTGCCTTCCTCAACTGCTCATCACTAGAGTCTCAACGGGCTCTGGTGAGACGGGCGCGAGTAGAGGCCTCGTCATGTGGTGTCCCGGACTAAGGACGCCGACCATGTAGCGGGGTCATGCTTTGGCCCCGCACCTCTCTCTTTCATAATCATCATCATCATCTCATCATGTCGCATATTCGATGTTATCAAACTTTCGAAAGAATACGCTTCCCTTGTTAGCAGGCCCGTAGCTCAGAATTTTTTTGCAGGTATAGTTCACTTGAAACATCGTGGAAGGCCTTGAACAATTTCTACTTTTCATCCCTTGTTCTCGGTAAAAGACAATCGAGTCAACTGAGTCAACCTCGCATATTCGATGTTATCAAACTTTCGAAGGAATACGCTTCTCTGGTTAGCAGGCCCGTCGCTCAGAATTTTTTTGCAGGTATAGTTCACTAGAAACGTCGTGGAAGGCCTTGAACAATTTCTATTTTCATCACTTGTTCTCGGTAAAGGACAATCGAGTCTATCTCGCATATTCCATGTTATCAAACTTTCAAAGGAATACGTTTCTCTGTAAGCAGGCCCGTAGCTCAGAGTTTTTTTGCAGGTATAGTTCACTTGAAACGTCGTGGAAGGCCTTGAACAACTTCTATTTTCATCACTTGTTCTCGGTAAAAGACAATCGAGTCAATCTCGCAAATTCTATATTATCAAACTTTCGAAGGAATACACTTCTGTAGTTAGCAGGCCCGTAGCTCAGAATTTTTTCAGGTATAGTTCACTTGAAACGTCGTGGAAGGCCTTGAACAACTTTTATTTTCATCACTTGTTCTCGGTAAAAGACAATCGAGTCAAACTTGCATATTCGATAATATCAAATTTTCGAAGGAATACGCTTCTCTGGTTAGCAGGCCCGTAGTTCAGAATTTTTTGCACGTATAGTTCACTTGAAACGTCGTGGAAGGCCTTGTATAACTTCTATTTTCATTACTTGTTTTCGGTAAAAGACAATCGAGTCAGTCTCCGATATTCGACGTTATCAAACTTTCGAAGGAATGCGCTTCTCTAGTTAGCAGGCCCGTAGCTCAGAATTTTTATTTGCAGGTATAGTTCACTTGAAACCTCGTGGAAGGCCTTGAACAATTTTTTTCATCAGTTGTTCTCGGTAAAACACCCCTTCAACACAATTTTACAAGGGGTAGGCTAGTACCCCCTCTCCCCTTTTTCCTCGGCTACGGGCCTGCTAGTTAGACACCGAATATCTTCGAACATATATGGTATGTTGTGCGTGCCGATTTTGACGTTTCATTTCACATTGCGTTCGTTTTGACTTTGAGCTTTCGTGTGTTGTAGTCAATAGGCAACACATTAACGACGCGTGGGTCGAATTATGAAGCGAACGTAAGTAACATCTGTTCGTTCTCTTGGCAATGTTTACTTTATTATGCGTACTGAATACTTCTATATTATATTGCCTACTTGTAGTATTATATCAATGACCCGGGCCTGCATGAGTTTAAAGTATACTTTGAAGAAAACGTGCAAATAAATGCGCCCTATCACCGCCAGAGTCGAAAAAAACAATATAACTAGAGAAACACACGGCAAACAAAAAAGACAAGCTAACTTAACAATGCTGCACTTTCAGCAATTTGAGGTGTTTAAAGTATTCTTGCAAGAAGAGCACCTTACCATGACACAAGGGCGCCCCTCCCACCATTTCGCACTCCTTGCCGAAGGCTGAACATCTTTGAACCTCCTCCTGATCGCAAGCCTTACGGCTTGTATCTGCCAGGAAAGAAAATATCGGTGATGACAATCAAAATAGAATGTGCACTTCCACGCGTCGGTCCTAAAAAACTGCCCATGGCGGAGAGAACTGGGGTTCATTGAATGAGATTACAATTGCTTACCGATACACACTGGTGCGTGCGCTGTGAAGTCACACTTTTTTCTCCTAGATTTGCATATTTTCATCTCTTGTTCATTGCATGTCGTGCGAATTGTGTCTGCAAAGGAAACGACGGTGTTTAAAAAATACTAAACAAAGCACACTTGCTAAGTTTGCACTGAGTGGCGCGAGGCTGGGTCACATCAGTGCTGGTAGACACCTATAGGTGACCGTAGCTTGGCTTGGCTTTCGTCTTCTTCCTTCTGTATTTCCTCTTGCTACACTGCACAATACATGGTGACTACTGTACTACATTGCTTGCTCTCTAATTTTGACGTTTCTTTATTTTGTGTCTTTCTGTTGAAGTTTTTTTTTCTGTTTTTCTTCGCTTTATTTCTGTCCCTTCTTCACTAGCAGTTCTCTCGGCTTCCATCGTTTTCCCTCCTCGACCATAATAGCTCTGCTGTAGAACTCCCAAAGCGCGTATGTGTCACAAAAATCGGGCAAATGCCGCTGGTGCCTGCACTGGTCCACTAGAAATTAACAAGAAAACGCGTGGGCAGCGAACGCAGATAAGGAACGGCATGTTCCAGAGTCTCTTGTTAACCGTCTGTACGGAGTGCTTTGGTGGTCATTCAGCTGACAAAACATTGAGTTGCGAAGAAACGAGGACAGGAACATCGTGTCCTCTCTCGTCCTCGTTCCGCCATGGCTCCATGTTTTCTCAAACCATGCACCAGCAAGCCCACGAACGCGTTTTAGTCGGCAATTTAACGCATGACGGCTCGTGACAATGATAATATTTTATCTATGACACACGGAAAACGCTGTCCGTAACATTTAATCTGAAAATAAATAAATAAACTAAATTCAGCCGGCCGCTGCTTAAACCTCGACTTCCGGGGCGAAAGAAAAACACTTGAGGCTTGAGCACGGTCCACAAAGCGAGCGCTGAAAAATCGTGGGCCAGGGTAAAAAAACAAAAACAACAGTAGAGGGCATACTGTTAAACCTTAGCAACTGTGCAGCACGGGCGATTCCATTTCGTCGAGTACCCATTGCTGCGTTTACCAGTGTCGATGGCATATCAATGTATGAGGTGAAAATGCTGAATTTGTTTGGCACCAAGACATTCTTGTTAGGCACATTCGGTGTGCAATGTACGCACTACTTATTGCTACTCCTTATTGACTTCTTGCTTTTTACGCCATATGAGATACCTGTCATCTAGAGCGAGTTCTGTCAATTTTCTCCCGCTTGTTCACCTTTTCATAAACGCCTCCCTGGGCGCCGCCATAGCCCTCCTTGGGCTGTGCGAATTGGCGCGTCCCCTCGAAAATGCACTGACAACGCTGCGCCCTTAGCCTTTGTACTCCGGCGCACAGCCCATCATGGTGGTGTTTTTTTCCTTCCTGTGAAAAGGTGTATACTAGCACCATGTAGAAAGCCGACGAGAGAAAAATCTTGCTCACCACGAGGCAGTGGCGCCCTCTCCCTCGCGGCGCCACAGTCATTCGCCTGTTTACGAAACATTTTTAGACACTTTCAGTTCATGATTGGTATTTGCTAATTTTTATGAATGATATTATTTTACACCTCGATCGTTTGTTTTAACCTAGTTTTGAGCATCGCGAGCCTTGTTGTGACCTTGTTTATGAGCGTGACCACGCCACATGCAATCCATGAATGAACGACTGTAGCCACCCCCCCCCCCCTCCCAAAGTGCTGTGGACTTTATCCACGCATGTCTACGAAGTGAATGTTAATGATAAGGCGGAGCAGTGCAAATCACATCATGAATCGTGGCCCTTCTATTTTCTTCTTGTTAACAACCTTTTATGCTGTTCTTGTCACCCTTTTGTTCTTCCATATGCTTTGAGGATGGGTTGTTGAACGTCATTGTTGTTTTTTTTTGGTGTTTCGGACTTTCACTTTGTTTACTCTGGTTAACAGCCTTCAGAATACCTTTTCGTTGTCCGCAGATGTTTCGAATTCTACATCTGCTGTAGACGCATGGCGGCGGTTTATGGACGGGGAACATTGTGCGCTGTTAAGGTGCTTCGCTCCTAACGAAATTACAGGCACATTTGTAAGTCACCGATTCGTATGTGAAACTAAAGGGGTTGCCTGGGCGTGGTTGCAAGGCTTATCGGAAGGAAACAGCGAGAAAAACAAGAAACCAAACAAAAAAAGAACCATACAGCGCTCTGTATCCTTCTTTTGGCTAGTTGTTTTCCGCGCTGTTACCTTGCAGTACGTATGGGAAACTTTTTTTTTCAGTTTGTTAGTCCGGGGTCGCGCTCACGGCGGCCCTAACGGCCAGAGTGTGGAGACGGTGCATTTTTTTCTAGCTTTAGACAAAATAAAATGTAAAGTTCTTTAAACGTTATAGCTCTCCCCGGGATGACTTACACATTGCCGATTGACTCTCGAACATTTGTAAGAACTCGCGTGACCTTAAACCTCAGCCACTGAAAGCTCGAGAATGCTTCGTAAGGGGCAGTTCCTTGAAACTTAAGTTGTCTATTGTATAGAGTTTGTTGTGATCGGAATTTCATATACTAGTTTTTTTGTGTGTGCTACTCTACATCACTACTCCAGCTTGCAAAATGGTGTTTTAGGGCTTGCCGAAGGCTGCGCTGGGAAATAATACTTTTTTGCAGACTAGTTGGTTCATACTTGAAAAATTGAATTGCTGCACAAACTTCAAGGAAAACAAGGGAGACAGGAAAGAGCGCAGGATCTGCGCTCTTTCCTGTCTCCCTTGTTTTCCTTCAAGTTTGTGGAGCAATTCGATTTTTCAAGGCTGCACTGGGAAACTTAATCTATGTTCACAAGGAATTATCATGCAACGGTTTTGTTTGTAGCCAAATAGTAAACTTATGTGTATTCCGAAGTCTTCCATTGAAGTGATAAGCCAAGTATTAAGCTTTTGTTTTACAATGCTACCTATTACAGTTTGCTTAGCGCAGTTCTCTGGTCAATTTCCCGTAATACAAAGCCTTTTTTGTGTTATGGAGAATAAGAATAAAAGAGGTGTGCTGACAGACAAGTAAATAAAATAAAAACATTAATGACATTCCGAAGCTTATGCTTACCAAGGCACACGGCAGCGCCAAGCGAGAAATCACATTCCATTCCCATTTCCTTGCACGCGTTCATATCGCGTTCGTTGCATTTAGTCCGTTTCGTGGCTGTGCAGAGAACAAGAGAAACGAAAACATTGACAGCAACTGGAACATAAAAACGCCGAAGGAAATATTTAAACTCGCACTTGATAGTAACCACTCGCACGTTGCTTGAGAAGCAAACCCGGCACATCTGACGCACTGTGGGGATCGATGGCATATAATGCGAAGAAGCCAGCAAGAGGTTTATAATGTTGTACATAACATGTATGTATCGATTTGCATGTTGAGGCCTGTAATTTATATTCGTGATACAGTCACGTTGCACAATAACGATCTTGCTGTATGTCAAGCTAAGCGAAACGGTGGCGATTGCACGATGAGCGTGATACATACAGTACATGCCGTACATCTTCGTCATTTATGTTTGTCATGCAGTCACGAGGAGCAATACCAGTTTCATTGTATATCAAGCTAGAGAACCGGACTCTAGCGCATCATGAGCGTGGTGTGTAAGTCATGTCATACACAATATGCATGTCATGATTATCATGCTGCGGTGATTTATGTTAGTCGTAAAGTTATTGTATGCCAAGACGAATTTGGTATACATTACATTCCGGTATGGCCATGAAAGCATAAAGTCAGCGGTGGCTATGTATAGGCGCTCAAAGTCGCAGAATATTGCTAAATGCTTGGAATTTTAAATGTGTACAACGCGAAGAAGTGCCACGAGAGAGAGAGAGAGATAAAAACTTGATTTGCGCATTACGTGGAGAATCCCGCTGGCCCCTGCCATCATCTCTGCCCTTTGGACCAGCCAAAGCTGATCGTCAAAGGCCGAGTTGGACAGCGTTACGTCCCATTGTTCCTCCGTGTTGTACATGACGTGGTGTTCTATGTTGTAGAGTGTGCACTCAGACGTGATGTGAAACAGTGTTGGTGTAGTCCCGCACCACGCGCATAAGTGTATGTTTCAATGTTGTGGGGTATAATAAACATCAACTGCAAGAAAAAGTGGCCCCACTTTTCCAGGCTTGTCACGTTTATTTTTCCAGTTGGTTGGTTGTTCTTTATATAGTCCTGGCACAACCTACCCCAGGGGATCGGTCATGAAACGGGTGGCACCTTATTTTAGAGATAAAGTTTGTTTTACAAGCCGAATACATTTAGAAAAAAAATGGTTTAAAATTAACACATCAGTAAAACGAGAAATAAATATATAATAAATAAAGTGAGTGAGTGAGTGAAACAACATTATTGACGATCCGGCATAAAGGGGGAAGGGGTAGGGGGATTAAAGCGAGACACTAGCGTGCTCGGACGTCCCAGAGCAGCAACCTACTCGCGTCAAACCCGTGGGGGGCGCCGCTTTCGGCCACTGGCGTTCCAGGATGCTAAGCACGTGCTGGACCACGTCTCTTCGGTTGCCTGGCTCTCGGCTGATGATTTTGCTGCTTATGGCAGTTGGCATAATAAATAAAGGAAAGCTTTGCCTGGTGAAGCTGCCTGTATTATTCCTTCCTGTCTCTTGCGCTGGCCTTTCAGGACTTAGAAGAAAAATTCGGTGTACCGCAGTAGCTTTTAGTAAGCGCACCACACATGTCGAAACGGTGGTACCTCAGGGTTGGTCTTTCCTGGGATTAACCGTCTGATTCTTAATGAAATCATTGTGGTTCGAAGTAAAAGAGATGTAACGAACGCGCCCTTGATAATGTCTTACGTTTATTACTGCTTTAGTTTTACTTTGAGAAATATTGCCGGAAACTTAGCACGTGCTGGCATATACGCGAGAGATATGGGGAAAGAAATAGTAGAAACGGTCACAAATCCCTCTATCTATCATGTTTTTTCCCTCGTGCGTCGCATATGTGTTCGCTAAAAAAAGTCTTCGAGGCGGCATATATATATATATATATATATATATATATATATATATATATATATATATATATATATATATATATATTATGAAGTCTTGGTAGTCTTGGCTGCGACAACGTTTATTTGCGGAAAGACCTCGCAAAACGAGCGGGCAGAGCCAGCACACAGACGATGAAGATTATGATGACCCAGAGTGGCAATGAGAGCAAAGAGACAAGCGGATGATGGTGAGTGTGATTATGCAGGGATGAGGACGCTGTGTGTTACAAATGCCCACACTAATTCCCCCCACTTGGAAGCGGACACCCTGGCCGCGGTAAGTCAAAGTGACGGGGAACGTCGCGTGAAAGGTTTCATGCGACAAACGTGGACAATCTCTGTGCTGCGGTAGCGGCGGTCTGTTGGGGCGACGAGTGGTGTCACACGATAATGAACCGGCGAAGTCTGTTCTAAAACAATGTATGGCCCGATGAAGCGTGGTTGGAATTTGTCACAGAGACCAGGAGTGCGAATAGGTGTCAAAAGCAGCCCCTCGTCACCAGGTTGGAAAGACAAAACGCCGTGGGATTCGTCATAGATGATCTTCCGCTCGTGCTGTCTCGCTTCAGTATTGATGCGAGCCTGATGGCGAGACTGGGCCAGGCGGGAAATGTATTCTTCGCTAGAAGACTGACATGAATTCCTCATGGCTGCTAAAGAAGGAGACGTCGAGAAAGGTAGTCGGGGTGCGTCCGTACACGAGGTTAAACGGTGAGTAGCAAGTTGTTCGCTGAACGGCGGTGTTGTAAGCGAATGTCAGGAATGGTAAAAGAGTATCCCAGTTTTTGTGGTCAGGTTGGACGTAAACGGCTATCATGTCTGCAAGGGTTCGGTGAGATCTTTCTGTGAGACCATTTGTCTGAGGGTGGTAGCTTGAAGCTGTCTTGTGAGTAGTTCCAGAAGTGCGCAGTACTTCATTTACAACTTGTGACAGGAACACTTTGCCGTGGTCACTAAGCAGTATACGAGGACTCCGTGACGCAGTATTATTGCGTGAAGAATAAAGTCTGCAACTTCCACAGCTGAGCCTGTAATAACAAAGGAAGTCTCAGCGTAGCGTGTCAGGTGGTCCACGGCAGTCACTATCCATCGTTTGCCAGTAGATGCTACGGGGAGAGGCCCATAAAGGTCAACACCTACAACCTCGAACGGCATTGAAGGGCACGGAAGTGGCTGTAGAGGTCCAGCAGGTGCCGACGTGGGGAGTTTACAACGCTGGCATGGTTAGCAGGAACCGACGTACCGAGCTACACTAGAAGAAAGGCCAGGCCAGTAATAACGACATCGAATGCGGTCAAGAGTTTTTTAAGCCAAGATGACCAGCAGTCAAGTCATCGTGGAAGGCTTCGAGCACCTGCAGTCGAAGAGAGTGTGGCAGTACAGGAACCCAGCGCTGACCGTCAGGGTGGTAGACGTGGCGGTAGAGAACCCCATTGTCCAGCTTAAAGTGCAGGAGTTGACGACGGAGTTGCGCGTTTGGTGGATGAAAAACTCCCGAAAGGTGGTCCATCATGCGTCTGCCGTATGAATCGGACCGCTGGCGGGAGATAAATGTTGGCTCGTCGTCCGAAAAGGGTTGCGTTATTGATGCAAGCGTATGAACTTTGGTAGATGTGGCGGTTGAGTTCTCACCGACGCTCATATGGGTAGTTGGAAGCGGGCAACGAGATAAAAAATCGGCGTCTTGATGTTTTCTGCCTGACTTGTAAGTTATGTCAAAGTCGTACTCCTGCAAGCGTAGCATCCACCGACCCAAGCGTCCGGACAAGTTCTTCAATGTAGAAAGCCAGCATAAGGCATGGTGGTCCGTAACGATTGTGAAGTGACGGCCGTGGAGATAGGGACGGAACTTCTGGACCGACCAAACCACAGCCAAACACTCTTGCTCAGTTATAGTGTAGTTCTTTTCAGCAGCGGTGAGTACGCGACTGGCAACAACTTTCTCTAGGGAAGACTTGTCGCGTTGTAGAAGAACGGCTCCTATACCAAGGCCGCTAGCCTCGGTATGGAGGATAGTTGGTGCGGCTTCGTCAAAGTGGCAGAGCAGAGATTCAGACATGAGTGCCCGCTTCAACAGGTCGAATGCCGTTTGACATTCTTGAGACCACAGAAAGGGGACGTTGGAAGCAAGTAGTTGGTGTAATGGAGCAGCAATAGAAGCGAAGTTCTGGATAAACCGGCGAAAATAGGAGGCGAGGCCAAGGAAACTGCGAAGCTCCTTTGGTTTTTCGGGGCGCGGAAAGTGAAGGACTGCAGAAATCTTCTCAGGGTCAGGCCGGATGCCATCTTTGCTAACGACGTGTCCTAAGACCTTGATAGATTTGCTAGCGAAAGAGCATTTCTTCGTGTTTATTTGAACCCGGCGCCGGCAAGGCACGTCAAAACTTGATCCAATCGTTCTAGGTGCTCAGGAAACGTTGACGAAAAGATAATAATGTCGTCCAGGTAGCAAAGGCAACTTTTCCATTTCAGGCCGCGCAGCATGGTATCTATCATGCGCTCAAAAGTCGCGGGTGCGTTGCAGAGCCCGAAAAGCATCACGTTGAATTCATATAGCCCGTCGGGGGTTGCGAATGCCGTTTTCTCCTTATCGTCTTCATGCATGGGGATCTGCCAGTACCCAGAACGCAAGTCGGATGCTTGAAAAGAATTCCGCGCCTTGTAGGGAATCAAGGGCGTCGTCAATGCGTGGCATAGGGTACACGTCCTTGCGTGTGATCTTATTGAGCGCCCGGTAGTCCACGCAAAACCGCACAGAGCCATCCTTTTTATGGACCAAAACAATAGGAGACGACCAAGGGCTAGATGAGGAACGGATGATTTCCCGTTTAAGCATGTCCGCAACGTTTTCTTCTATATTTTTTTTCAGTTAGAGACACGCGGTATGGCCGGTGGTGTACAATAGATGTCCCAACAGTTTGAATTCGATGTGCTGTAGTATTAGTGCAGCCCAGCTTAGACGAGCAAATATCCAAAGAATTTGCATGTTTCTGTAACAATGCGATCAGCTGCTGCCTCTGTGAATATGTCAATTCGCTGCTGATAGTGGTGGTAAAACGGAGGAAGAAACATGCTTACCGAGGCAAGGTTCTTTGGATGCGATGGCCTGAAGTGGCGTGACGAGTACAGGCTCGAAGTCAGCAACACGGGCCACAGTAGTGCCCTGTGGCAGTAAGATCTTCTCCGGTGTAGAGTTGACAGCGGTGACAAGTGCCGAGCCATTGCAAAAACGAACGACACCGGACGGAAGAACTATACCTTTGCGAACGCAAAGTGGTGACGGTGAGACCAATACATCCCCCTGATAGATGTC